ACTCTCATACATAAGATCAGAGTCCGACCCATTCTTACTTTTAACTTACTAAGTACTCAATCAAGACTTTATAGAAGTACTAAAGCTGTTAATTGCTGTAMTATGATATATTAGTAACAGAAAGTGAAAGCTTTTTCACACGAAATATTGTAAAACTCGAACTTTAGGTGGTTGAAGAGAAAGCCCGAAGAAATGTCTCTTAGGAAACAACTTCAAATAAGTCAGAAGTATAAATTCTCAAAAAGGAATCAAGCAAAATAATGAGTTTCTTTCACTGTATTAATATCCCCAACAGTCTGACTTTCATATATAACATTTATGGTCTGGTGTTTCCGTTCTTAAGTAACAAATATCCTTACCCTATCTTGTATAGACGACGCCATAGCCTGCAGTGCCCTGTATATATCCCCAGAAGTCTGACTCCCTCTTCTTGCGCTTTCGTGGCAATCAAGGAGTGTATCTGCTCTGTGGCCGCAGAAGCATCACATACCCTCACCTGTAGCGACGCCATAGATTGCAGTGCTCTATATAAAATTCTAGAAGCTGCTCTAATTTCCTTTTATGGAAACCGATTTTTTTCCTGAACTGTTTTGTAGTGAATTCTTCCAAAAAGAGCCTCGCCTGTCAAAACCCGGACAGATCTTTCCMCTTTCCGTAGCTCCTCTCGTAAGCTGTCGGATCCAGCAGCGTAGAATAGTTAAGGTTCTATAGGACTATTAGCTTAGTTCCATTGGTGCCTCTATAAGCATGAGTCATGAGTTTACATGCTTTCCAAATAACATTGATGATATSATTTCCATGAACTAGTTTACCTGTAGAGTCGCTTGACTATCACACAGCCTGACAATTTATACCTCTTATAGGTTAGCATAGACCTCATATTGAAAAAGAGTTGGAAGCCTGCTAATGAGAACTAATAGCTTGTCTAAATCTCTCTTTTTCTATTGCTGTTCTAGTAATAAGCACAAAAAATCATACAGATTGAGCCGAGTTAATATCATTGCAGAGTGAAAGTTTTTTTCCATCCTACCAAGAGTTGTTCTTTTGGAAAACTTTTTGAGCACAGTGAGCCAGCTTTTTATTTTAAGCTTACCAAGGGTTGTTCTTTTGTAAAACTCGTATTACTTTGCTGAAATTAGCTGAAAATTACTTAGACTCTTCGTCGAGCAC